GAAGTTTCAGCCCCCCAGCTTTCCTGGTTGCCGGGTTGAAAGTGGGTGACAAAATGCACTCGCTTTGCGCGCGCGCACGAACACACACTGACAGCCTCTCGACAATATGCGTTTTTGCTGGCTGTAGCAGCGCTATAGCGCTAGCGTTGCTATAGCGTTGCACAGCAAAAACGCTTAAAAATGGGTATTTCGGGTCCGTAGTACTTTGGGTGGTTTGATTGGGAGAATTTTTTGGTTTTAATACAGGAATTGTTTCCGGGCACTTACTTTTGTGATTTTATTTTAGGGGCTCCCGGTTCGCTTGAAGAAAATTGTTGTTGGGCGTGCTGTTATGGAAAAAAAATTAGATTACTGAACCGCGTGGCAGCACTGGTTGGTAAATCCAGAACTTATTTTCTTCTGTCCGAGATCAGGAATTTTACAACATTGGGTACTTTCCAAAACTGACCGCAAAAACACACGGCTAAAGACACACGCCACTGAGTAACCCTGCAGTCAATGCGGTTTGATCGCTCAATTGTTAAAACTGAAAACACTTCCACCAGTCACAACAACCTGTTGCTCATTGAAAATTTGCCGCTGAAAATACACAAATTTTGTTAGAAAACATAACCTGGTCATTTCTGAAGAATGTTTTCGGACAAAATTTGCACCGACACGGTTTGATACCACTATGTTGCAAACGATGCCTTAACATATTCGATTTCTCAGTAAACTGCACGAGGCATTCATCGCATTCATACATTTGCTCCTGACAGTTTTCATGCGCAGCCTGAAATCAAAGTCAACATGGAAAAACACTCAACAAAACAACCCACACATACGTATTACTAACTCTGGAAATAGTGTATTTAACATATCGAAGAGGCCAACTGCAAACTTTGAATGTACAATACAGTTTTGGACCGGAACTTCACAAATTCACATTAACCCTTTGGGAAGTAATTTTCACGGCAGGAGACACTTTCCTGCGGAAAATTTTCAAAGAGACAGGAATAAGATGGGACACGCCAACCATAGTGGGATTTATAATAGTACCAAGCGAATTCCACATGCAAGAATCTTCATCCAAACTACACTGCTACACGAACTATCCCCTTTTTCCCTGCCGCAAAAAAAACTTGGAAATCTGTTGGTAAAAGAATGTGGCTCTTAAAACACAACTAGATGCAGTTTTTGAATGCAAAGGGTCGTGGCTTTAAATCAGACCAACAAGCTCGATGTTTCGTCAGCGCTTTTTCCACAAACTCAACCAAGGCTTTTGGTTGATATCTGCTATATCCAATACTTTTTCCAAAAATGCCCAAAATTGAAAAAAAAAAAAAAGAAAAACTAACCAAATGACTTCTCATTCGCTGCGATAAAGGGGTCCTGTAAGCACAGAAAGGACAGCTATGCATCGATCTGGAATTCTCCTTTGATGACCTGCTACTACCGGAAACTGGACGCAGGATGGCACGTTTGCGATCTGCAACGATTTCTCCAAACACCGGTACCATTCCTGAAAAATTATCACTGACAGTTTGTGGCTGATGCAACCAAATTATTATTACAAATCAAGAAAAAATCACATTTTTACTCAAAAATAGCGAATTCTTGCTCACTGTTCAATATTTCCTGTGCCTTTCTAGATCGATCCTTTAGCCGGTGCTTTGGTTTAAGCCAGTCCCGTCGTTACTGTTTTGGTTCTGATCCGAAGCGATCCACTTTTGCTACATAAAGAAGTGAACAAGTTAGGAAATTCACAATCCACAGACTTTCGAAACAAATATAACTCTTAAAATAGTTTGTTTTGGAGCAAGCAAACAGACATGCCAGCAGAACGACGCAGGACACCACTTCTAGCCGGAGGGTCTAAGTGAACGCCAAAACCTCGTCTCCTTTATCGCAGGTTTCTATGGCACGACGCAGCGGCATAGCACTACTGTTTTGAGGTAAGCTGGAGGCCTATCGCTCTGCTGATAAGATGACCGGTCTCTTCGTGACTCGTTTCGATGGTGCTAGCATACGCCAGAAAGTCAAACTCGCCATTAGCTTGCTTGTAAGCAGCCTCAGAAGACAGCCTTGCCAGCGGAAGATCGCCGTTAACATCTGCTGTTACCCGGGCTACTTTCTGAATGCCCTGCCTCCAGCTGTGAGCGAGATGCGGGGCGGGAGTGAGGTTAACTTTGACTTTTATGGCAAACCGACCCACGCGTACCTGGAAGGAACGCTGGAATTCGAGATGAACGAAGCTCGCACCGGATTGATCTACGAAGGCTCCCGAGGACGAAAACTCCGAATAGCACTGAAAAAGGAGTAAACACCAGCGCGATGCTAACACCCACAAATCGCGAACACGCTACAGTGAAAACAGCCGAGCAGCCGTTTCGACGCGCGCCTCTTTTTTTGTATGTCTGTGCTTTTTCCTTCTCTGTTGCTGCGGCGGCTTGATGAAATTTTGTGATATGTGATGTTTTTTTATCAAATATGAAGTGGGCATTTTGTTTTCATGTTCTTTACGAACTGAATTATATTATCAAAGTTTGAGTTTCAGGTGTCTGGACAACTCGAAGCCGACGTTTTGCATCCAAACGACTCGGTGTATCACCGCATGCCACTTTACCCTGCATATCATTCAACTCCCTATTACTTTTTTTGTAAACTTTAACGTGGACAACGCTCTGCAGTTACTGTAGCAAGTCGCTAAACACTCAGAACAAGGATTATCTCCGTGATTTATGTGCTGCAGACATAACATGAAGTTATACTACCGTATGCTAAAAGACAAAGGAACAGCTCGTCAATCCGTTTATGATTCGTTCGTTCGTCCACGACAAACTGGATAGCAACTTTTGACCAGCAACTTGCACTGTAGGAAACCTAACAAGAGAATCTTTATCTTGCGGAAAGCAAAAGTCCAATAAGTTTTATTCGCATTTCATCCTACATGAGGTGGAGGCTCTCGCGCAACAACTTGTGCCAGCCAGCCTCCACCTCATATAAAATGGAATATGAACAGAGCTTCGAACTTCTTGTTAGGACAAATTCGATTTCTCCTCTGCCTAGCAAAACCGCTCCACCATTCCTCAGAGTCAAGATATGCAATACCCTCTATCGAATTTCGCGTATCTCACGGAGGTCACACAGTGTTACTGGATTTTTTGAAGGAAATAATTCGTGAGTTTACATCTCAACAGCGACTGGCAGCTGCAGAATCGTTCCTTTCAAGATTGACGTTGCTCGACTGCCACAAGTTTTTAGCACCTCCTCATTTTCCACTTGCCACTCCGCCGCCGAAGTGGAAGACGCATGAAGTGCTGGGTCTCCGCTTTCAATTTCAGGTTCGACGCAATGTTTTACAGTATACTGCTTATCTTCCGCTTAATGTTGACGGGATTTCACAAGGATGTTTCCAATTTATGTGCGCCTCGATAAGCACAGAATAAATTCACGATGCCTACGTCTCATGTTTGAAAGCTTGAAATCAAAACTGAATAAATATTAGCAGAAAACGATTATGGAAAACAGACAAGACAGGCAGCCGGCATTTTTTTTTTTTTTTTAGAAGCGAAATCTCTACAATTCGCTCAAAGCTCGGTCTTTTTATTGGTAACCATGTCTTGACAAAAACCCAGCGGGTTGAAAGAAATCTAAAATGATGTTTAAATGTTGAACAAATCGATAACGCAACTAATCTGCTGTTATGATCCAATATGCTTCCATATGAAAAAAAAAAAAGAAAAAATGGTTTATTTGCGGACTGAAAGAACACTCAACGACTCAACGAAAGCTTAACGGCACGAGAATTTAACTACACATTTGCTGGGACTACGTCCCCACAGCCATTAATCAGGAAATACAGTACCCCTTCACGTCCCAGAAATACAGTACTCCTTCACTTCAGCTTTTCAATTTCCGAAAAGGAACTTTCGATTTAGCAGTAAATCACATCGTGCTGAAACTGCACCTAGCACTGAGAGCGTTTGAAAATCAAGAAGAATTTGTACACGAAAATTATGCTCCTCGAAAAACCAGTGAAGACTGCTGCAATGTTGTAAAACAAAACATTTGCCTCCCTTAAGGCTTTCACACACGCACTGTGTAAGGATCTTTGCAAAAGATTTAAGACGAACAGGGAATTCGGCACAGATGGTGAAGAAATGTGGGTATTCCTTTATGTCGATGATGTAGCGTTTACAATGCAAGATTTACAAACACACCAGAGTCTCCTACTGTGCTGAACACTATCGCATTTTTATGTGACCGTGTTTGGGACTCGGACGTACGTGAAAGCTAAATTCAAACTTGTGCATAGGGAACATTTTCCTAAAATTTCAGCTTCCTAACTCTTTTGGCTCTCGAGTTGAAAATCCTGCACTTGAACATAAACACATACATATGCACATATGTACATACGCAAACACAGGAACATGACAATATACATTTTATGCAGCTGTTACACAGACAAGACATAACAAGCAATGCTGAGTCATTATGACATGCTGCTGTAAAGGGCTTAACAATGGAAACTTAGGCTACGGACAGAAGACAAACTACAAGGAAGAAAAACGACAAAACAGCTGCACTGTACTCACTGTGCGTTAAAAGAACAGTAAGAAGACTAGCGTCATGCCAGGCCCACCCACGAACCGCAGTGTACGGTACTGTGTGAATATTGGGAAAAGCAAGATCCTAGTCGTTGAAAGGGCTGCCAACTCCACAAATGGAGATTCGCACTATATGTTAACAGTTACTCCACCTGCGATACCTAATTAAACTAGCAGAAAAAAAAACTTACTTAAAAAAAACCAGACTTATTTCTCAACGCAATATTTTTAGTTGAACGTATAAAAAGAATAAGAGTGGCCAGATTCACTAGCAGGCTTACTTAACCAGCAAGTTTTTTGACCACAGTGACAAAAATTTTTTGCGAAATTGGCCAGCTGCTGAAAAACCAGCAGAGTACAGGCTGACTTGGTCCCAATTACTTGCTTTCTTCAGACGAGTGCTTTTCTGACCATAAGTTGTACTGTAGCAATTAAATTTTGTGCCCGATTGACTAACTTGTCTGTCTCGCCAGCTATCCCAGCTCCATGATGGCCACACCTTCAACACTGCAAGAGAAAGCTGAAATTTCGTAAGCAGCCTCCGATCGCGTGCCAGACGCCCTCCACCCAGGGGCTTAGGTAGCAGTTGTTTTACTGTACGAAAGTCTGCTTAATACCATCTGTCGCCCTCCCGTCCCCCTCCCCCCCGCAGCAGCTTTGTCGGTCTCAGTTTAGTGTCCACTGTGAGAGTAAGGGGAAGAGGAAGAGGAAGGGGGGGGGGGGGGGGGGGGGGGGGGGGGGGGGGGGGG